CCCTGGCTTGGCTAACTCAGGGGAGTCTCCCCCTCCCTCCCCCCCCCAGGCAGCCTGCAGCCCAAAGCTCAAGACACCCCCCAGGCCTCTTGGCTACAGGGTCCCCCATGGCCCCCCCTTCCCCGGGAGCCCTGGCCAGAAGAGCAGCCCTACTCGCAGAAGGGGCCTTGGGAGTGGGGGTGGGGGTGCAAGGACCCCCAAGCAGAGCAGAGATCCGACCTCCACCTCTGCTCTGGCTTCTCTGCCCCCTCTCCCCCAGATCTGCCATGTGGGGGCGGGGGGATGCACCAGGAGGGGAGTCTCCACCCCAGTGTAGAGGGCAGGCCATGGGGTCCCTGAATGAAGGCTCGTTCCTGGCCTCCCTGAGAATCAAAACCAGGGCGGGTCGTGGCCAGTCTAAGGCTGAAAGGGGGCCCGTAGCCTGAGCTCAGGGGGCGTCTGCCTGGTCCTACTTCCAAGCAGTCCCACTCCCAGCTCCGGACCCTGGGCTGCAGCTGGCAATATGGGAGCTGAACCGGGACTTTGAGGAAGGCTTCCCCTGGGCCCGCTTTGACCCCTGAGCTGCTTCATGGACCGGCCTCCCAGCCTCCTCAGAATGACCCAGGGGTGCGTCTGTGCGCTAGATGGGATTGGGTGCTGTCAGCTGTGTGGAGTCTACCCCAGAGGGACCCTCTGCCCTCCCCCCCCTTGGCATCCCGCCCACTCCCAGATACTCTACCTGGCAGGCCTCCGACTTGGCCCGTGGGTCAAAGATGTGCAGCCTTTTGTCCTGCGGAGCAAAGAGAGACCCACTGGTCATCGGCTCAGCCCCCTGCTCTGCTCCAGCCCCACAGCCCCCCTCCCAACCCTGGGCATGGTCAGCCAGGCCAGAGAATGTGGGAATGGGAGCGGATCTCTGATGCTGCTGCTAGTCGGGGGGGGGCGGGGGACGGGGGGGGGAAGGTGTCATGTAGCTGTGCTGCTGAGGTCCCGGCCTTTGGGGAAGCATCCACCCCATGGGGGATGGGGGGATAAAGTGCCCCCGAGTGATGCCGGGCCAGGTCTCCACAAGGCTGCAGAGAGGGGCAGGGATGACCTTCTCTTTGCAGCTCTGCCTGTTAGGGGTTAGGGTGGGCCTAGGGCCCCAAGAGACCCCTCTCTCCCTGGGGGAATGCAGCCATGGGAAACGAATGTCCCTTCCCCAGGGCCTTCTCCATCACAGGGACCTCTCTGAGGCGCCACTAGATGGCAGCCAAGGGCAAGCAGCTGCTCATTGCCAGGGTGCCAACACCACGGCATGGAGCATGGCGCCCCCTGGTGTCCGCCTGCACTCAAGAGCCGGCTCCTTGTTTTGGCCTCTGCTTCCCCACTGCACTCACCTGGCAAGAGGTGCCCAGGAGCGACCCGTCCGGCTTCCAGGCCAAACTCTGCACCCAGTTCAGGTGAGGCTCCAGCTCTGGAGAGAAGAATGGAAGGGGCCTGGTGTTGTGCCCTCCAGGACCCACCAGGACCCTGCTTGGACCACCCAGATTACGAGGAGGGCTCCCCAACTCAGGCCAGGAGAGCTGCCTCACGTGGCAGAGCAACAGCCTCCCTGGCTTGATTGGNTAGGCGCAGCCCCTGGGCCGACCTTCGCTCAGCCCGGCAGGCAGAGTCAGCTGGTGCTTTGGACCCAGACAAGGGGGGGGGCTCTCTGTCCGAAGAGCAAGAGTGAGGGGGCCACCTGACTCCAGGTGCCCCCGGAGCAGGCCAAGGCAAGGACAGAGGTCTGCCCTACCCTTTCCTAGAGGGGGAGAAGCCACCCCTTAAAGCAGCCCCCAACTCCAGCCTGAAGGGGCCGCTATGGCCTCCTACCGGCAGCCCCCCCCCCCCCTTTGGCAGCCTCAGCCACACTTCTCCTCCGGCCAAGCCTGAGTGGTGTTTACACAGCTGCCTCTGCCTGGCCGGCCTTGGGCCAGCCAGCTTCTCCCACCTCCCAAGCCTGCGGCTGCTGGCACCCCGTGGATCGCATGAAGGGATCCGCCTGATTCCAGGCAGCGCAGTGACCCGGAGCTGCCACACGGCCCTCTCCTCAGGGCTGCAGGAGACGGGCACTCGGCCCTTGGAAAGCTGAATGCCGGCCCAAAAAACCAGACCCAAACTGGCTAAATCGCGGCTGCCGGTGTGGAGCTGCAGGGGGGGCATGAATGGACGGTTGGGTTCGGCTGGGAAATGGGGGCTAGTCCACAAATGGCTCTTGTGCTGGGGAACCCAGGCTGTGAGCAGCACAGCCAAAATGAAATCCCCCCCCTTTATCCTCTGAAGCCCCCCCTGCTTCGGCCCCCAAGAACCCCCCCCTCAGGGCCCCTGCACCGCTTGGCCTGACCCACAACCTTCCTGCCCCCCAGGCGGATTCTCTCCAGGCAACTGCTGGCTGGCCAGGCCAGAAGAGCCTCTGGAGGAGTTGAAGCCCCTCTGCTCATCGTGCAGCTCTGACCCTTTGGGCCAAAGCAGGCAGGGCCCCCCAGGAGGAGGAGGAGGAGGGCCTGCTGCTCTAAAGGGGCTCCCGGCAGGGGTCCTGAAGAGCTCATCTGCACTCCCCCCCCCCCCAGGGAGGCTTCTCAGCTGCCCCAGGAAGACTTTGGCAATGCCCACCAGGCAGATCTAGCAGAGCTCAACCGCCCTCCACAAGCGGTGAAAGGGAGAGACAGCAGCTCCCCCTGGGAAGGGGGCACCCACAGACGGAGCTAAGAAAACCAGGGGAAGACCCCAAGGGCGGAAGCAGCTCCTGTGCAGCTCTGCTAATCCAGCCAGAGTTCAGCAGGACAAGGCCCCCAGCTCTCCCCAGCCCCATGCCAGCAGTCCTGTGCCAGAGGGCAGCTAATTCAGGAAAGGGGGGATGCCCCAAAGCTGGACTGCCCTCTGGGGCCGGGAAGCAGCTGGGCCGTCCCCGGGGAAGCCAGAGGGCCCCCGGGAGTCCTTGGCCCACAGGGAAGCTGGGGAAAGTGGGCAGCACCGGGGAAGCCCCCCCCTCCCGGAACTAGCTGACCCTCTGAATGGGCCCTTTGTCATCCCAGGCAGACTGTTCAAATTAACATAGCAGATTCCTGCAAAAGCGGCTGCTGAGCAAATATTTTCCTTATGAGCCACGTGGAGTTTCCAACCGCAGCCGAGAGGAGAGAGGGGGTGGGGGGTGGGGCAGGCAGCAGCCCTATGGCCAAGCCAAGTCAGCCCCACCCGGGGGTCCCGGCCAGCTCCTCCGGCCTTGGAAAGCAGGGGGCTCAGAGCTCACCAGCCGCTTGAGTCACCCGGGAGGGGAAAGGGCTGACTCCGCAGCCTCCAAGGGGGGAGGGGGGGGAGCCCCTCCTCCCTGCAGGGTTTGGCCACAGAGGCTTCTGCCAGCCCTCAAGTGCCTCTGCTTGGGGGTGGGAGGACAAAAACACCCCCCCCCCAAGTGCCCCCTGGAAAGGCTGCCGGCCACAGCCACGGGGGACAGGGACCAGGCGGGAGGGTGCCAGCTGCTCATTCTTTGAGGTGACTCGGAGACCCTCCAGGATGGGCGGACACAAAGCCTGCCGAGACATCCACGTTGGCGATGCGCTTCCTAGAGGGGTTGCCAAGTGGGGCCCCCCAATCAGAAGAGGCTCAGCTCCAGCACAGCCTCTTCCGTGAGATGAGGCAGCCGAGGAGGAGGAGGAGGAGGGCTCCAGCCCAAGACCCCCAGCCCTGGAGTTTGTCCACCCACCTCCAATGAGGAAAGTTGGAGGGGGGAGCAGCTCCAGCAGGCCAGATGGGGAGCCTGGCAGGTCTCCTTGGCTGGAAAGGGAAACAACCGGGGGCAAGGCAGGCAGTGGGCAGGCAGGGCTGGAGACAGGCTGCCTTGCTTGAGTGGCTGCTCTGACGTGCTCAAGAGCCCTTCCTTGTGCTAAGCCCCTGGCATTACCTGCCCCGCGTTCCCAGAGCAACTCCTGAGCAACGGGGGCTGGCTTTCCCCGCTGCCCCCCGCAGAGCTAATATGTCCCTCGCTGGAGCTTCCCCCATTCCCAGAGTTGCCCTGGGAACCGGACAGCGGGGCGCTGGCACTGAAGGGCTGAGGGCACAGAGGGGCTAGGTGGGCAGAGGAGCAGCTGACCGCAGCCGCCTTCCTCAGCCAGAGAGCTCAACAATCCTCTGTAGCCAAGGACTGGGGAATGGTCACAAAGGCAGCACCAGTTCAATTCCCCACTTGGGGGGAGGCATGGGGGGAGGGAAAGAGGAGGACCCTGACCCCGCCATCCCTCAGCGGGGCGAGAAGAGAGGGGCCCACCTCCCCAGCTAAGTAGCCCCAAAACAGCCCCATTGCTGGGAAGGAGCTGCTTCCGCCCCCCCGCCCATCCCAGCCCCCCCCCCCCATCAGAATCAGCCCCTTGTGCCCAGCAGTTCTCAGCTTGATGGCAACAAGAGGACAGCCTTGCAAAACCCGCCAGGGGCAGGCAGAGAAGCGGCACCAACCAGCCCCACGCATTCCTTGGCAGAGTTACACATTGGGTAGCCAAAACAAGCTGGCAACCTGGCGTCGCTTGAGCCCCTCCTCCCTTGGACGGTCCAAGGAAACCAGAGCACCCCAGATAGCGATGCCTCCCCCACCTGAGTTGCTACAAGGATGCCCCCCAGCCCGCCCCAGGACTGGCTGATGTGCCCTGATAAAGCCACTTGGAGACCCCGGAGGTCTGGGGAAGGGCAAAGGCCGAAGGGGCCCACCCTGGAAGGGGCCGTTGGGGGGTGGCAGCTGCACCTATTCCCCACCTCCTCCCTCCTGCAGTCGATGGGCCCAACTCCAGCCAGCTACTTCAAGCAACATCCTCCCTGCAACCCTGGCAGGGCCCCCTCCACTAGAGGAGCTGCGCGTGAGGGGCCGATCCAGGCAGGTGGGGGCCGGTGGCGTGGAGAGGAGCGGCAGCAGCCCTGGGGCCCAGGGGGACAATCCGGTGGAACACCAGCCTGGCCCGCCCCTGCCCCTCTACCCCTCTGCACCCCCCAATGCTGGGAGTCACCGCGACCCCTTACTTGGGAGAGGCGTCCAGTGTGACGGAGGTCAGGGAGCAGTTCAACCGGCGGCTGTCCCAGAGGCACACCTCCCGCTCCATCATCTGGAAGGAAGGCGAGGCTGAGGGGCTGCCCGGAGGGACCCCAGAGCCCTGGCAGGTTTGCCTTGGAGACATCCTCTCCTGAGGGCTCCGGATTGGCCCCACCCCCGAGCCCCCAGCCCCGCAGGAGAGGCAGGCGGAATCCGCACCTGATTGGAGCCCACGGAGAGGAAGCAGCCGTCCGCGTTCACCCACAGCAGCCGGACCTCCCTGCCGCCCCTGTGCGCCAGGACAGTCTGTGGGGAGAAGATGAAGGGTTGGGGGGGGGCTGTTTCCGGACTCCTACAAGTGGGGAGAGACCCTTGGGACATTTCCCTCCCTCCAGGGCTTCCATCCGGTCTGGGGTCAGGCAGGGCACCTCTTTGGGGCAGTGCCCCAGAGGCTCCCGGCTCCTCCTTGGGCCGGCATTGCATTGCAGCTCTCCCAGGACGCTGGGTCTCGGGCAACGTTTGTGTGAAAGGAAGTGGGGGGAGGGGCGCCTGCACCCCCACAGTGCTCAGCTGCAGCTCTCAGTTGCTGAGGGGACTTTGGGGGCCACTGGGGGGGGGCAGCTCTGGTGTTCCCAGCCCAAGGAAGTTAGGGAGCGGATCCCCTTGGCTCTCCTGAAGGTTGCTGGGGGACGGGGGGTTTCAGGGGACCCTCTTCATCTGCGCTGCCTGGGGGGAGGGGGAGACGGACGTCAAAAGGGCTTCCTTGGGTGGTTGGAGGGTCGGTCAGGTCCCGCCAGTGCATTGGGGGGGGCATTGAGCTGCTTTTCAACTCCATGGGAGATTTGCGGCATGCTCTGCTGCGATGGGAGCTGGGGGGTTTGGGCTGCGAACTGCACCCAGGAGGCATGAGCAGCATTTCGGCTTCCCTCGGACCAGGGAGGCCCAGGCGGCCACAGCTGATGCGGGCAGAGCCCTTTGGGGTGCCAACACCTGGAAAGGGCCTCTCCCAGCTGCAAGGACCATAATCGGCCCTTTGGGGACAGCTGCCCAAAGGCGCTGCTCTCCAGCCCCCCCCCCCTTCCTGGCCCCTCCTTCCCGGCCAATGCTACTGGGGAGAAGGGGCCAGCCCCATTCGCTGGGGGCAGACCTTGGAGAGAGACCCAGGCAGGCTGTGCTATGAATGCTGAGGCTGGAAAGGCTGCTCTGTGGCGGCCCAGGTCCGAACCAGACAGAGCCTCCAGCCCAGGAAGAACAGGCAGGCTCCCCCACTGCCCCCCCCCCCCACTCAGCCAGGCAGGCAGGCAGGCAGGAGGGAGGGAAGAGACATTCGGCTGCTTGGAAGAAGCGGAGCTCCCCCCCCTTCCCGCCCCCACTGCTCTCCTGCCCTGAACCGTCCCCAGCAAAGCTCTCAGGCTGACGGCAAGGATGACGCACGAGACGGGCGGGAAGTGGGAGCTTCCAGACAAAAGGCAGGCGGCCACGTCAGCACGGCCTGGAGAGGAGGGGGAGCGGCCCCCCCAACCTGCCTCCACAAAGGAGATGAGCAGCTGCCCAACTCGCAGCCGGCCTGGAGACCAGCACTTTGGGACTCCCAGCCAGCCACACCTTCTGGCCGGCCACAGCTTCCTCTGGCCTCAGCCCCCCCCCCCCCCCCCCCCCC